GGATCTGTTTTCTGATCTCTTAAGAACTCCTCCCTTTGCCTTGAAAGAGCTGGCCAACTGACTGGTCAAACCTTATTTTATCTAGTTGTTTAAATGCCATTTGGAAAAAATTCTCCAAATTTTTTCCAACCAGTTCTGAGTTTAATAAATTTGCTTTTGAAATTTCATTTGGAAAAGAAGATTTCAGTGAAAGTCTTATGAGTGGAGTACAGTGACTTTGCACAATTGAGGGGTATGTGTGAATGTCATATCTTTCTAGGCATAATCTTTTATCTACCCTTTCTCTCTATGCTTTGATTAATTCCCAAGTAGCTTGTTCAGATAGGAAAATGTTGGTAGCAAGGGAGGCTTAAAAGTGATTGAAAGATGCATAACAGAAAACAACAAAACCAGCTGTGGTGGCCCTTCTTTGCCACTTTAATCAGTTCAAAAACATCACCAGGAGAATTTTTAAAAAAAATCTCATGGACCCCAAGGATAAGATATTTGTTGTTGCTGCTGCTAATTTTAAACTGCTGTTCACTGTCCAGAGTTGTATGTCAAGTGGGCAGCCTTACAAATAAATAGATAGACAAATATTTTCTGGGAAGAAAACTTACGAGGAATTTCAAGAAAGTATCTATTCCTTCTTACATGGACAGATACAGGGTGAAATTGAATGGAGTCATATTAAGAGGTAAAGGGGAATAGGCTAAGTGATTTTCTTTCTTTTCAAAGGAGGGTGGGGATTATGAAATGTATCCACAGAAATATACTGATACTGTACACATCTGAATAAATGTCAACGCACAATCAGTTCATGTCATATAGTATGTAGATAACTGCTTGCTTATGGTTGATAATGTTAGCGAGGGTTAAAACATTTGTCCTCCAGCTGGTGCCCTCCAGATGTGTTGGCAGTACCATTCTCAGCCAGTAGTTATTGGCTGGGAATTTGGGGAATGGAAATCATAATACAACTGGAAGAAGAACCAGATTTGGAAAGTGAGTTAAACAAATTCATGTAGGATAAGTGTACTAAAGGGCATTTATTAGTCATGCTGGTATTAGCTGAGCCTTAAGTTTAGAAAAGTACATGTTTGAATACCAGTTGGAGCAAGCAACAGGCATCATATAATTTTCCATCATCTGGCTGGCTGGTATTAGTAACAGGATGCAAACTACAAACATTTTTTTCTGATTCTTGGTATTGTTTTGTCATTTTCAGATCCAAATATGTGACTTCAGCTTGCTTTCTAAAGATGGAAGACTTGTTGAGATTGCAATTCATGCATTTCAAAAATAAAACTAAAAAGCAACTGTGAAACTTTCAGTGTACAAAACCATTCTAAGAAAGCTAGAGACACAAGGTAGTGGGAGCTGGTGAGAGCATCCTCTTTGCCACTCGGAAGTGATATAATTATTTTTATAGGGTAGATCCAATTCCTGAAAATGTAGAGGGATTTTGTTTCAACTTGAAATAAACATTAGGGTGAAAACTGAAGTGAACAAAAGAAGAAAAAATCTTCCAAAAATATGGTCCTTGCACGTGACCATCTAGTTCTTTACCTCTATGGGAATACAGAGGTTCTCTCATGCTTTCTGTTTCACATAAATATGTATACCAAAACGTGTGCGTGTGCATGCATATGCAGACATCTTTCCCATATAAGAATCCCATGCAATTATCCCTTCCAAACTGAAAAGCAGTTATTAGTTATTTATTTACCAGGACTATAAGAAAATGAGGGCAGAGATGGAGGTGTGGAAAGCTGTGAAATTAATTCTGAATCGAATTCAAATAGAAAATTTGAATTTGAATAAAAACAGTGCTTTGTCAGGCATACCTGCACGAGGTCACAGGACTTCTCACCAGTTATATATGGAATTATCCTTAAATCTTGTAAAAGAGAGAGGAGGGAGGAAAATAAAGTTCTCAGTAGATGCTTCCTATTACAAATTTCAATTATGTGCCTAAACCCTTCTGGAACAGTAAAGAATAAAATCTCTTATCTCTCAATGTAGACTGCATTTTAGTTTTTATCAGACATCTTAGGCTGAAGAGATCAACCAGAGCTGTTAATCTTGGAACATTAAAATCCTCTAATAACAGCAACTGGACTGAGAGATAGCTGAGCGCTCCGTCAAAAGGCACACTCCATTTTTGAAAATAGTTTTCCTGGCCACACCCCTTTCTGTTTCTTTTTTTCTTGATCATGCAGACATTTCATTTGAAACACTGAAGAATGCCTCCAAATATTGGAAGTTGACATGACTTTTCGTACATTGTTTTTCTGTTCAAGGAAATAGAGAAATACTATGGAAGAGAGAACAGCTACATCCTTGCCAAAAAAAAAAAGCTTTTTTCAGTGAAAAAGAATAAGCTCCAAAATATCTTTAATATATCCTTCATCCCTGATGAGTTTTGCTTTATTTTGCTCAAAAAATAACTATTATAATGGTAAGTTTGCAGTTGTTTTGGCTGTATATGATATGCAAACCTATTCGTGAATCAGTCAAACCAGATTATGGTTCAGCATTGATTAGAAAGGACAGCTGATCTCCTGCAAAAGATTTCAGCAATCTTAAGCATGTGTATTTGGACATAGATTATAATTACTTATTATAATCTACTATAATTTTATAGATTATAGATCATATGGAAATATTACATTATGTGAAAGGTACATTTTAGGTCAGAACTAAAATTCCTATGATTGTTACCACAGACAGAAAAAGACCTCCGAAATCCCTTATCAGTAACAAAGGACAGGCCTCGCAATAAGAAGATATAGTTTCTTAGATTTGTGCCGGAAGGAGATATTGTAATCACTACATATTATTTTCAAGGTTACAAGCAATTTATAGATTGAAGAATCCGGCAATTTATATGATAAAAAAATTAAATTCTACTCCTATGTTACAGTTCATGTGTTGGCTACTGAGGTTACCTTTGAAAATTAATATTT